TCCCACGGAGCCCAGGAGAAACAGGGAACAAGGAGGGGCTCAGAGGCTCTCCCCTCTCTTGCCTCGTCCACTCAGCCTCGTTCCCTTCGGCAGCTGAGACTTTCACATCCTCCTGCCTCTGGTTCCAGTTCACCATCGGCACCAAATGACTGGCATTTTGTCTGTAACTAAGCTCGAGTGGCAGTGAGAACTGTGGGGAACTTGACTTACTGTGAGGGGAGAACCAAACTCCCACTAATGTCCCTTTCGAGCCTAAAGGAACCCCGCCAAGGGCGGAAGGAGGGAGTGGGGGGGTGGAAGAGGGGAGGAAAACTGTGGGAGTGGCGTTATCCCCAATCCACCCTCAGGGTTATCCCCAATCCACCCCCAATTCCCTCACCTGTGCCTCTTTCCCGAATCGAATCGCCTCTCCTCTCGGCTTCCCCTCTTCACCACCCCTCCAAATTCCCTGTGGCCACACAAATAAATAACTTGTTGATTTTTCCTCACCGGAGCAGCTCCTAGACCAATTAGCTCTTTGCATTGGTGGCTGATGGTCTCCCTCAAAGGCTGCAGATCTGCTCAGGCTGAGGGTAGCTGCCTGCCAGTGGCGCTCGGACATTACAGACATTACAGCGGAAGGACTCCTCGGAGCGAGGGTCCAGCGGGGGGAGAACCGCTCACTGGGGTCTCCTGGGTCGTGCCCTGACACCGCAGGGTCCCCCGCCTTCTCCTGAGCCCTGCAAGGTGGCCCTTTTGAGAGCAGTACGGGCCATACCACAACCATCTGTTCTAATATTACTACTGAACAAGTAAACATGTAGCATTGATAGCAAAATAAAGTTATACGTTTGCCTACATTTCTCTTTATGGTAAGTGGTAGGTAGCATGCACTGCATTCATAGATGGCAAAACATCATGCATATTGAATGCCAACAGCTGGCACGGAAGGGAACAGTCCCCTTTGCCCCAGGAAGATGGCTTTCCTCTGAGAATCAGTGGGGACAGATTCCCCTTCCGCACAGCTCCCCCTGCTCCCACCCTGGAGAGGACCCTGCGGCCTTCCTCCCATTCCCGAAGGAGGGAACTACTCCCGTCCTCCGTCCTCAGGGCCAGCCTATGCCCTGGATCCAGCCTTAGGCTACACCTGCAATGGCAACATGAAAGCTCGACGGACAATATGCTATAGTGACAATGATGAGTTACAAATACGCGCCAAGAAGTACTCTGGCATGGCTGGTTAGGGATATCCACGGGCATCCCGATGAGCATGGCATAACTGGAGGAAAAGCCGGTTTCCCTAAGTAGCAAGCGAAGTTCAGACCCTTTCCCTGGGAACTGTCACTTGGAGATGTGTGCCCTGACAGTCAGCAAGGACTTACTGTCAACAAGCATTTCGAGCGGAGAGGGAGGAAAACCTGAAAACCCAGGTCCCCAGAGAGGTGGGCCCAGCCCTTTTATTTACTTATTTTTAATATATTTTATTGATTTTTTTTTTTACGGAGAGGAAGAGAGAGGGATAGAGAGTTAGAAACATCGATAAGAGAGAATCATCAACCAGCTGCCTCTTGCACACCCACTACGGGGGCTGTGCCCGCAACCAAGGTACATGCCCTTGACCGGAATTGAACCCGGGACCTTTCAGTCCGCAGGCCGACGCTCTATCCACTAAGCCAAACCGGTTTCAGCGGGCCCAGCCCTTTTAGTTGGCAAGGGCTTGGATACACAGAACATGTGGTGGGGGAAGCTGGGACATGGGAATGAGAGCGGGAAAGGGAGGCCCGGCCCAGGGCGAAGGGAGAGAAGAGATGCAGGTGTGCTGAGCCTGGGTCCAAAGCCCCTGCTGCTTCCAGGAAGAACAGAGCCCCTGGGGCTTTGGGGGCGCCAACTCCTCAGGCCTGAGGCCTCCAACTTCAGGCAGCCTGGAGCGGGGAGGAATGAGCTCATCGGGATTCTGGCTGTGCTGTCAGCATCCTGCACACAGCTCCTCCAAAGCAGACACATCGTCGTCTGCAAACTCTTCCTCCCCCTGACGGTCCCCTTTCAGCGAAAGGAGCCAACCTCATCACCCAGGCATGGAAATGTCAAACCCCGGCCAATCAAGTGTCTCTGTTCCAGAAGATGATACCGATGTTCACAATCTCCCTAGAATCAGCCCCTGCTTTTCCATGTCAACTGCCAAGTTTCAGAGTCATCGGGTCTCACCTGGACCCTTATCTAGTTTTCCAGAAACCCGTGTTTTAAATAGTTCTTCAGGGGATTCTGATATCTGGTCAAGTATAAGAAATCCCACCCTAAACCTTTAGCCATAGACCCTCCAATATTTACGGAACACCTACTACGTGCTAAGGACCAACCAAGCCAGGTTGCGTCAGTTCGGAAATGAGAATACATTTGAGGAACTTCCCATCTGATAGGGGCCAAAATCCAATGCACACACCCTCAGGCAGGCTATGGGATAGCACAAGACAAAGGAATCAGTGTCCCACCCCTAACCTTAGACCCCAACCCCTCAGATCATCCCTTGCCATGACTGAGGAAAAGAGAATATCCCCTACCCAATGCTGGTCTTTTGGACTCTTCAATCACAAGTAACTTTCATATATATATATGTGTGTGTGTGTGTGTACATACACACAGACACACACACACACACACACACACACATACTAGTAGCCCTGCGCACAAATTCATGCACCAGTAGCTTGCTACTGCCCTTCAGTAGCTCTCTGCCCCCTTCCCCCCCCCCCCAATAGCTTGTTGCCCTGCCTCCTCCTGTAGCTCTCTGCCGCCCACTTGTAGCTCGCTGCCCCACCCTCCTGCTGATCCCTGATAGGGTCATTACAAGATTGGCCGTTAGGCTTCACTGCATAAGGACCATTTACATATCACAGAGGGGAACACCAACACCAAGTGGCTGCCTCCTATACACCCCCTCCTGGGTGGGGATCAAGCCCATAACCTGAGCACGAGTGCTGACCTGGAATTGAACCGGTGACTTCTTGGTGCATGCATGGGTTGATGGCTCAACCACTGAGCCACACCAGCTGGGCTGCAGGTAACTTTCTAAAGAGGGGTTCTTGCCCTGAGGTGTGTCTCAGGTCCATAGGCTTGGCACACGTGGAGAAACGCTCCCGCGAGGCCACACCGGTGATTCCTGGCAGCTGGGGCTCAGAAAGTTCACAGAGGGCTGTGAGCATGTCACAGCACGTCACGGCAATGCAATCCCCAGCAGGGTCACTCCCACAGGCCCCTGGCCAGCTTGCCCGGAAGAATGGGAAGAGTGCCGATACAGACATAAACACACACACACACACACACACACACACACACACAGAAAGACGTGGGCTCCCCGGCCTCCCTCCCTCCATTCTCAAGTTACAAGGTTAAAGGCGGTCCTACTCTCAGCCAAGGGGGAGGGAGGGATGAGAGAGAGAAGGAGCCATCTGGTTCAGATCACGATTGCTCACTCAGGACCCCAGCACCTTCCCAGAGCCTCCGGATGGTTCTCTGCCCCAGCTTCCCACTGGGAAACGGAGCGCTGGGCTAGAGAAAGGGAAATCTTCCCACCCAAAGGCAAATCTGCCAAAGGAAGACAAGGAAACAAAACAAAACAAAAAATTTGTACGGGCAAGCCTGTGCCACCTCACTGAGCTGAACGTCACAAACAGACCTGAGCCCGCCGCCCAACCTACACACACCGTCTTCGCCCGCAAAGCGCGCAGGGCACCTGGCACTCGGCCATCCCTGAGCGGCCACCTCTTCTTAAGTCAGCTTCCGAGGCAAGTTGAGGCGTAGGGGTGTGGTCTCCCAGCCTCCTCTCATGCCACCATCTCCACCAGCGTAGGAGGTTCCCTCCATCTCAGAGGGACTTGGGAGCCCAGCAGGCATCACAGAGAGGAAGGGACAGGGACAACTGTCCCAAAGGGCGAGTTACTGGCTGGGAATTGACTGGAGACCCCTGAAGATCCCCTCGGCAGCAGCTTTGGCCGAAAGAGGCTGCCCACTCCTTCCTTTGTGTCACCAGCGCCTCTCTCCCCTTTCCCTAACGCCGCCTCAGACCGTCCCACGGTGCCTTGTGCAGCTGGAAAGCACGGGTTTGTAAGATGGGAGATGGATGCGGCCGGCAGGAAATACAAATGGAAAGGCTAACTTGAGAAACAAGCATTTGGGATTGGTGCCTCCACAGGCAGAGAGGGCCTGACTTGGGGTACAGGCAGGACCGGGCAGGGGGAACAGAAGTAGCGGAAAGCCAAAGGGGAGACTAAAGTGAGCTCAGCCCAGAGCTGCAGCAGGGGAGGTGGGGGGGGAGAGAAACATTTGGTCCAGTCACAGAGGAATGACTGAAAGGAAGAAATGACTCTTCCATTCGGAGGGATGGGCTTAGGCCAGTCCCCACAGGACTGGCGCATGGCCTTGGCCAAGTTCCTGGCTTGCACCGTGCCTCAGTTTCTGCAACGTGGGAAGGAGACCAAACTCCCAAGTCTTCTCAGAGAGAACTGGGCTATTGGGAGTGTCTCTAGGGGGCAATGCCAGATTAAGGGGAAGAGGAGAGAGAGGCTGATGGTGCAAAGACAGCCTCTGACCAAGCAAAGCGGGGCAGGGGGTCCCCAGACGGTGCAAGCGCCAGGAGCGCGCGGGTGGGGGGCAGGAACTAAGTAGCGGACTGTACATCGGGACTGGGGCACGCCGTGCTTCAAGGGCTGGGACTGGGGGCTGCCACCTGGGAGTGGAACAGTCGCGCCCCGGGGGGGGGGGGGGGGGATGGGGGGGGAAAGACTGGGAGCGGCTTGATGTGCAAGAGCAGAAGGCGGGGATGGGGATTGAGGCCAATGCAAACGGACCCGCGCCCGCCTCGGGGAGCCCAGCCCCCCTGACTTGGGGGAAGTTGCCGGGGTGGACCGGCCGGTGTGGGGCCGCTGGGCCGAGCCCGCTGCCCGCGCACGTAGGGCTCCGAGCAGCCAGGGGCCCGGGGCGAACCGCATCCCGCCAGCCCGCCCGCCCTCATGCCGCCCGCGCACCTCAGTCAGAGCCGGGCGCCGCGGGCCATGCTGGCCGCTCCTGCCGCCGCCTCCGCCCGTGCAGAAGCCGCCGCCGCCGCCGCCGCCGCCGTCCGGACCCGTTAGCTCCGCCGCTCCCCGGTTCGCCCGCCCGCAGCGGGCCAGTCCCGCCCCGGCCGGCCCAGCCCTACCCGAGCGAGCGAGCCGCCGCCGCCTCAGCCCGGCCCCTCCCCCCACCCAGCTCGGCTGGAAGGGAAGGGTGGGGGGGAGGGGGGCGGCTGCCCCCTCCCCATTCACATCCTCTGGGCTCTCCCCTCCCTCCTCCTCCTCCTTCTCCTCCTCCTTCTCTCCCTCCCCTCTCGCTCGCGGGCATGCTGGGATGTGGAGTCCAGCTGCTGCAGAGTCCATAGGAACGCCCCGCATTCAGGACTACTACTCCCACAACACAGCGCGCCTGCGCCCTAGGGATTGTGGGCTTTGTAGTTCGACCGGGGCTCTGGGGGGCTACGGCTCATTAGGGCATGGGAGCGGGAGGGGGGAGGGGTAGGGGAAGGGGGGAAGGGGAAATCTCCTTTCCTTTCCCAGAAGGCCGGGCTCCCTGGTTAGGATGTGGGGTGTGAGGTGGTGCCCCGGGCCCCGGGTTGAATACCTGGGTTCCCGGGAAGGTGCAAACCAAGCCCAGGCTGCCTCCTAGACGCGGCTGTGCCAGCTGCAGCCGAGCTCGGCTGGAGGAGCAGCCTCTCCGGCCCGCGAACCCCGCGCCCCGCCCCGCCCCGCACCCCGGGTACCGTTTCTCTGCGTGCTCGCGAGGAGCCCTGACCTGGGGCTAGCCTGGCTTCATGCCCGGCTCTGCCATCCCGTCCAGAGCTGCAGGTGAGCTGCTGCGTCCAGGCCCGAGCAGAGAGGCCTGGGGAGCTGCGTGGGCATGGGGGTTTCCCCACCTGGGAAACGGGGCCCCAGTGTCTGTGGGTTTACTGGAGCACCCAGCTGCGGTGGCACCGTCTCATTTCATTCTCATCTCTGTTTCTGTTAGATGCCCTCAGTTTCTTACTGTTGTAGGGTAACGTGCACACGTTTTAAGTATTTTTCCATGTGTTCTCCTTCCCCCACTCTTTCAAATCCTTTAGGAAGCTCCATCCAGATCGGCCTCAGTTTCACCCTCCACGTCTCATCCCCTCTAGCTCAGGGAAGGCCTGCACATCAGTGGTTCTCAAACTTTGGCGCCCACGTCAGATTCTCCAAGAGAGCCTGTTCCAACTGTGGACGAAAGGAGCCACATGCTGACCTGACAAGCTCAGGGGAGGCCCATGTGGCAGGCAGTCTTGCAAACTCAGAGACCTAAAATAGCCACAAAAGCTGGTCTGAAAATTAAATATTTAACTACAAACAGGTGGTATTGGGCCGTCATGTCCTAGGCTGATATTTTCCCTGACAAAGATCAACTTAGATCTTTCCTGAGCCCATTTGCCTTTTTGCCTCTAAGATAACTTATCTGTGAGATGTCTGGGTAACACAACTAACGTCTTTCTGGAGCCCCTGGGGCACAACCAGATGTGGTGGGCGCCAGGACAGATACCACAGATTCCTTCATTATCAGGTTAATTGTTCCTGCGCTCACCTAAGTATGTGTCCATCAGTTTACTTTTTATCCGATCCCAGGGGTTTCCCACCGCTTTGCTTTATCCCCCCTCCTTAAATCCATCACCAATGAATTGTTTCCCATCTATGTCCCTCCTTTGATTGCAATGTATAAATACAAATGTAACCTGCCGTTCTTCAGAGCATTATCTCAATTCATTGAGGTTCTGCTTCCCGGCATATGTCGATAGTTGGCTCAAATAAACTCACAAAAATTCTTTACAGGTTTCAGTGTGTGTGTGCGTGTGTGCGTGTGTGTGTGTGTGTGTGTGTGTGTGTGTGTTTTATGTTAACACAACAAAGGTTGCTGACCGCCCACCCCAGGTTCTGTTTCATCAGCTCCAGAGTGGGCCTGAGAAATTTCTATCAGGTTCCCAGTTGCTGCCAAAGCTGCTGGGCTGGGGAACCCGCTTGGAGAACTGATGTTGGTGTTGGTCAGGTCAAGTCTTGACAGCTCAGTAGAATCTGCTGCCTCTGGGTGACCTCTGACCTAAAGTGGGTCAGCGGCGGGGAGTGAGAGGTGAGGAGGTGGATTCCTGGCTTGTCAAGTGTCTGAGAGTCTCTCACACCTGCCCAGGTAGACCCTCCTGACCGCCTCCGTCCCGATGTTCTGGGAGCTAAGACCTCCGAAGGGGAAAAGTGGTGGCCACCACCTCAGACTCTTCAGCTCTCGGGGGAGAAAGAATCTCTGCTTGACCAAACTTCAGCCAGGCTCCTCTGAGACCTCTTCGTCCGTAGGCCTCAGCCTTGGACTAAAAATGACACTCTCCGCTGACACCGGTTTGGCTCAGTGGATAGAGTGTCGGCCTGCGGACTGAAAGGTCCCAGGTTCGATTCCGGTTAAGGCCGCATACCTTGGTTGCGAGCACATCCCCAGTGGGGGGGGGGGGGGGGGATTGTGCAGGAGGCAGCTGATCGATGACTCTCTTTCATCGATGTTTCTAATTCTTTATCCCTCTCTCTTCTTCTCTGTAAAAAAAAAATCAATAAGCCAAAACTGGTTTGGCTCAGTGGATAGAGCATCGGCCTGAGGACTGAAAGGTCCCGCATTTGATTCCAGTTAAGGGCACGTACCTTGGTTGCGGGCACGTCCCCAGTAGGGGGTGTGCAAGAGGCAGCTGATCGATGATTCTCTCTCAACGATGTTTCTAACTCTCTATCCCTCTCTCTTCCTCTCTGTAAAATATCAATAAAATATTTTTAAAAATCAATAAAATATATATTTTAAAAAAAGACAGTCTCCACAAAAATGATTTCAGCCACCCCCTTCCCCTACATGGAAAGACTTAACACACAATAGCCAATAGAATAGTTTCTAACAGCTCAAGGCCACATCCCTAGGATGACGCAAACTCCCTTTGAAGTTCATAAAGCTCAAGGCTGCCAAAAGAATTCACTATTTATTCTAGCCAACACCACCTGATAGGCTCATGATCACCCCTTGCTTAGAGGGTTTACTGAAAAGGGTTTATAAGTGTGACTACTTTCTCTGTCCCTTTGAGATGTATATGTATCTCCTACAACTCAGGAGTGTCTTTCCCACGGACCTGAAAGCCATTCCCTTGCAATGTAAGCCTGCGGAAGGAATAGCGCCTCTGTCTCCCAGTGTCTGTAGGAGGTTAGGATCCTAACCTCAGTAATTTCCCACAGCAGACACAGCTGGCCTAGTCAGTGTTTACACTGACCAATCCCTTGTAATTTTTTACTTCCCTCCCCTGACTCTACTGAGCCCCTGCTCACCTCCCTCTGGACTCCCTCATTCTCCATCTATCTATTTATTTATTTATTTGTGATAATCTTCTCCTGAGGATATTTTCCCATTGATTCTTCCCCCCCCATTGCTATTTATTTATTATTATTATTTTATTATTTTTAAAATAATTTTTTATTGTTGAAAGTATTACATATGTCCTCCCTCCTCCCAATTAACCCTCTCTATTGATTAAAAAAATATATATATGTATATATAATATATATATAAAAGCTGACCTCTGTTGCAAAAAAAACCACAATTTTTTATTGTTTTTTTAATATATATATGAATATGTATATTCAGTCTGTAGGCTGATGCTCTACTCACTGAGCCAAATCTAAAAAGCCACATCAAACAATTGCAATATATGGACTTTATCTGACTCCTAATTCAAACAAATTGAACAAGAATTGTATGAGAATTGGGGAAATTTGAACACTGACCATTGGATATTAAGTAATTATTATTAATTTTAAGTGTGCTAATGGTGTTGTGGTTAGTTTTTCTTTTAAGAGACCTCACCTAGTGATATACACTGACATCATATCTATAGCTGATAAGATAGCTGGGGTTTGGTTCAAAATAATTTAGGGATGCCCTGGTTGGTTTGTCTCAGTGGATGGAGCATTGGCCTGCGGACTGGGGGGTCCCAGGTTCGATTCCAGTCAGGGGCATGTGCTTTGGTTGTGGGCACATCCCCAGTGGGTGGTGTGCGGGAGGCAGCTGATCAATGTTTCTGGCTCTCTATTCCTCTCCCTACCTCTCTGTAAAAAATCAATAAAATATATTTTAAAAAAATAATCTAGGGTTGAGGTGAAAGTATAGATAGATACAGGGTTGGCTAAATTGGTAATTGTTGGAGCTGGGAAAGGATGGTTAGTTGGGGTTCATTATAAAACCTTTTCTACTTTTGCATGTATTGACGTTTTCCATCATAAAATGGTTAAACATTCTTTTCAGTCAGAGCTCTACCTCAAACCTAGCTAAAACCCAAAACCAATAATAGCCAACAAAAAACAATAGAAAAATGGTTGGAATGTTTGCAGCTTACATCAGAGGTAAATGGCTCACACAAAGTGCTTTTGCAAATCAGTGAAATGACCAAAAAACCAACAGGAAATGTGAAAAGTATATGAATAAGCATATACTTTGGGAAACACAATGGCTCTTATAGGAGAAAATACAGAGCTTTGTTTTTTAAAAATTATAAAATACGTGTAACATAAAATTTCATTATCTTTAGCTAATCTTAAGTGTGCAGTTCATGGCATGAAATACATCCACACTATTGTGCTACCATCACCACCATCCATCCACAGAACTTTTTTCATCAACACCGAAGTGCTGAGCCCATTAGACAATAACCCCTCACATTCTCTTCTGCCCCAGCTCCTGACAACCACCATTCTACTTTTCGTCTCTGTGAACTTGGCCATGACATCATGTGAGTATGAATACAGTACTTGTCCTTTTATGTCTGGCTTATGTCACTTACTATAATGTCCTCAATGTTCATCCATGCTGTGGCATGTGTCAGGATTTCCTTCCCTTTTTACTCTGAATAATATTGCATTGTTTGTGTGTACATTATGTCCATTCATTCCTAGATGGACACTTGGGTTGCTTCATCGTTTGGCTCTAGTCAATGATGCTGCTATGAACACGGGTGTACGACTATCTTTCCAAGTCCCGCTATTAATTATTTTTTTTTAAATATATTTTATTGATTTCTTACAGAGAAAAAGAGAAAGGGATAGAGAGTTAGAAACATTGATGAGAGAGAATTGTCAATCAGCTGCCTCTTGCACACCCACTACTTGGGGTGTGCCCGCAACCAAGGTA